TAGATCAGAACCTCACCTCTGGAACAACTCTGTATCTTTCTTGAATTACAAACTAGTTGTCTTCCCTTTAATTTTTTTTTTTTTTAAGAAAGAACTCATGGACATGGACAACACTGTGGTGATTGCCAGGGGAAGGGGGTCGAAGAGGGTAACGGGGAGACAAATGGTGATGGATGAAGACTTGACTGGGGTGGGGAACCCACAATACAGTGTACAGGTGATGTGTTGTGGAATTGTGTAACTGAAACCTGTATAATTTTGTTAACCAGTGTCACCCCAACAAATTCGATAAAAAATAAAATAAATATTTTAGGGATTTAGGGATTTATCAAAGACCCTTCTTGACTTTAAAAAAATCCTGTTGACTTAATTACTGTATCTAGTTAGGTCCCACACATATAGTGGGACAGATGAGTAACAGACACGGAAAACAACAACAAAGAGGTTGCTGACAGCCGGAGTCTGTGAAAGGCTTCAGAGAAGAAAACAACCAGTGGACATCAAAGTAAACGAATAGTGTCATTTCGAAAGATATTTACTTTAGAAAAAAAAAGTTTAAAATCTGTTTTGTGCTCTCAAAATTTTTAAAGAAAACATGAACTCTATAAAACAGGAGATGAAACACACGATAATGAGATGATAAACTGAGTTGGAAAAGGAGCTGGCAGAGTTAAGAATTCAAAGAAATTCACCATGGACCAGGAAAAAAATCTAGCTAAGCTTTTATTGGCAAGTGTAAAGGCATTATTCTACCATTTTCAAAATATAAGAAAACAACCCTTGCCGTGGTTTGTGTGCTGCTAATGGACAGTTATGCTCTCACATTCTTGCCTAGTTGTGAACAGAGTAGGATCATATCCTGTCAGTAGGAGGTGAGGATTCCTGTCAAGAGAACGGCTATTCTGATGTCAAATCCTGAAAAAGAGAAAGATTCTAAATGAGAAAAAGAAAAAAAGGACTTGGAATGCAAGCCTTAAATAGGACGATGAGGGAATTAATTTCTTTCTCTGTCTGAAGCTCATTCTCTTGAGCCTGGAATCTCAAGTCCCAATGCGCTCAATATGTTTCCAAAAGATAAGGGAACAATAGTATCTGCCATATGGAAGCAGGTTAGGGACGGAGTTAGGGAGTTCATGAGTTAGTCGTAGAATAGTACCTAGCACATAGTAAACACTTGGTAAGTATTGGCTATCATCACCAGCACATATTATTCTGTGTGATGTAATTACTATCCTTCAGCACAGCATCATTACTAAGGCACCTTAGACTCAGCTGGGATTCAGAGATTTAAGGGGAGGCTGTGCACTTGGTCTGAAAGGCTGGGGGGGGGGGAGAGATTTCCCTCCCTCTCAGAGGCCACTGTTGGTGGGGGGGTGGGGGGGGAGGATTAGTCCTAGTTCTAAGGAAAAGGGAAGCAAGGTAAGGACAAGAAACCCAAACCTCACGGCTCTCCATTACAGCCATCCCTCCCAATGTGGAGTTAGGAAGGGTGTTTATTAAGTTACCCTCAAAGGAAGAAAATATCAGGCTGGCTTCATATTTTTCCATAACATATTACATTTCAGAAAACACTAGAACATCTGTAGACTACTGAGGATTAAATGTTTAAGTCAAGAACTCCACAGTAAGCCATATTTCATTCATAAGTGAAGGAAATTTGAAAGGCATTCTCAATTATGCAACAATCAACATACCCGCAAAACCTTCTTTAAAGAAAAATGTATTTAACCAAAGGAGAAATAATTTTAAAAAATAATTTAAGCCCGGCCAGTGTGGGCTCAGTGGTTGATCATCGACCCATGAACCAAGAGGTCACTGGTTCAATTCCCAGACAGGGCACATGCCCTGGTTGCAGTTGTGGGCTCGATCCCCAGTAGGGGGCATGTAGGAGGTAGCTGATCAATGATGTTTCTCTCATAGATGTTTCTATCTATTCCTCTCCTTTCCTCTTCCTCTAAAAATTAATAAAAACATTTTTTTAAAAAATAAGCATATCCACATACCTAAGCATTAGATTGAGATCCTATTTAAAAAAACAAAACAGAATTCAAAAAGGTAAAATATGAAAAAGGCTGGTGATGAATACTGAAGATATTAAGTATAAAATCAATCAAACAAAACTATAGTATGTATAGTTACCAACAGAATACAAGTGTCATAAATAATTCTTAACACATTGTAATTTTTTAAAATTGAGGTTTAAAACTCCAGATTATACTAACATAAACTTGGGAACTGTGTGAGGTGGAGGGAGTCAGGGAGGAGAAATATGAGAACGTAGAAGGCTCCAATATTCTTAATGTACAAAGATATTATTTTAGTCTCTATGTTAATACTTAGAAAAACTGCAAGTGTTATTTTAAAACAAAGTACTAAGGGGAAAAAGTAAGAAATATACAGTCAATATAGAAACATACAGTCAATATAGAAAACCAGATATACAAAATAAGAGGGAAGAGTCATTAAACCAAACCAAAATATTTAATTTTAACATGCAACAAAGACATAATATGAATCATTTTGTACTGAAAAAGTAGGCATTGGACCATATGTAGCCCTCAGAAATATAAGGAGATATGAAAAGAAAAACAGTAGTAGTGAGAGTCTTTAATAAGCCTCCTTCAGTTCTTGACAAATAAATAGAATACAAAAACATAGAGGACCTGAATACAATTTGTAAGTCTGATTTAATGGATATGTAATGGAGTATTAAATTAATATTTCCTATATCATAGACACAATGGCTGCCCCTTGCCCAGAGAAGTTTGAAGACTTGGATAAGTGTTTTTTGTGAACTAAATTTTTCACCACAATATTATTTTATTATAACAACCAAGCAAACAGAAAAAGCAGACTAGTGAAATAAATCATGGTAATCATATGATGGCTGTCACTGAGTCAATAAAAATCTTCAGCATGAGAAAATGCTCATGATATATTTCTAAGTATATGGCAAAATATGTTGCGCATTGGACCCATTTTGGGGAAAATGAAAAAGTATGTGTGCCTGGGTATGAGTGCGGAACTGAGTAATCAAGAATAAGAATGAATATCCCAGATTTTAAAAATACGCCAGAAAAGCCAGCCAGCATGGCTCAGTTGTTGAGCATCGATCTATGAACCAGGAGGTCAGGGTTTGATTCCCAGTCAGGGCACATGTCCAAGTTCGGGTTTGACCCCCAGTGTGGGCGTGCAGGAGGCAGCAGATCAACGATTCTCTCTCATCATTGATGATTCTCTCTCTCCCTCTTCCTTCCTCCTTGAAATCAATAATAAAAAAATACATCTTTTAAAAATACACCAGTATTGGGCTCCTTTGTGACCATCTTTCCGTAGCCATGGTGGTAAATCACACTTAGTGATAAAGGTGGGGGCTTCTCTAAAATGAGGGAAAGTTCTCACTGGTAGCATCCTGAGCAGAGATTAGTCCTGGAGCAAGAAGTGGTGGGGAGGCAGGGAGAGGTTTGGGCCCCGCCCAGGCCTAGAGGGCAGGACACCCAAAGGTAAGTGTTGAGAAGTGCAGGAAGTTCTTATGGAAGGGCACGCACATCTTTTACTTTTATGTATGACTTTCAATTTATATATTCAATTTTAAATTTTCTATTATTCTTCCCTTTTGTTCACAAATTATATGGATCAAATTAATTCTGTAGAAGAATCATATTAGTAAGGAATCCTCTGAGTTTTAATAAATGGGGAAAAAGTTTAATGTTATATATTTTAAATATGCCTCTAAGTCTTTCCAACTTTAGGAGGTATAAAATCACCGGTCTTTTTATTTCCTTTTAAAAAATTCTTTATTGTTGGAAGTATTACATATGTCTCCTTTTATCAGTCTTTTTGTTTCAATGTGAATAATTGGCAACCACCAATTTTAAATATACATTTAAACTGATTAATAATAAAGGAAAACTCTGAAGGGAAATTCATAATAGTAATAATGGGTAAAATTATTGCATACTTACTAGAAAGCACTTAGTTTTCTTAAAGTTTTAAGTATACTACTTATTTATTCCTCGTAATAACTTTATGAAATAAGCTACTATTACTTATCCCTCTTTTTAAGATGAGGAAAATAAGGTGCAGAGAGTGAAGTTGCTTGCACAGGGATACATAACTATTTAAAGCTTCCTTCCTCAAGAATCGGCGGTAAGAACAGCCAAGCACTTGATTCAGAGTGAACTCTAGCTTTGCTGAACCAATCAAGGTCCAGGACAGGACATCCTAAGTGCCTACCAGGTGAGCACCAAGGTCGGCAGATCCAAAATGAGGCTGTAGCCTGGCTAGCGTGGCTCAGTAGTTGAGCTTCAACCTATGAGCCGGTAGGTCACGGTTCGATTCCCAGTCAGGGCGCATGAGAGATCTTCAAAGAGTAATATTTCGTTTGTGCATTAACACATCATTCCTTTTCATCCGTGGTACAAAGAATGCAGCACTGCAGGTGCGGTCTGATGGGTACCTAGTACCGACATTATCACTCCCTTGCTGGAGATGGAGGGCTTTGTTGTTATCACATCAGAAATATACTTGGTTAGCTAGATTTGCTAAAAATCCCACCTGCCTTTCCACTCTTCCCTTATTTGTGCCATTGTTTGTGGAGCCAAGTGTAAGTTGTAACATTTAGAACACAATGCCTGGTTTATGGTCTCATTATAATAATCATTATTAACTTCATCTTATTAGCTATGACCACTCTGGCCATTACAAAAAGGAATTACCACTTAAAATAAGATGTTAGGTCAGGCCCCACCTCCTTCAGCCTCAGAAATGAAATACTACCTTGCATTACCTCGGCTTCTGGATTTTCAAACCACAGCGTCTTATCTCCCCTAGCCATTCAGCCAGGCTACCTCCAATTAAGCCCCGCCTCCAGAACGGTGTCTGCCTGGCCCCGCCCCCGTCCCCTAGGCAACCCGCGCCCGTCCCGCCCACTCCTGGACGGAGAAGCAGTCGGTGTCGTCGCTGATTGGCTGGATCGGGCGCAGCTTGATGGCGTCAGACTGAGAGGCCTCAGTCCCTGCCGACGCCCGGGGCGAAGGCCACAGAGGTAAGGGGCTGGGCAGCCCGAGCTGCTGCGGTCGCGGGGAGCGGGCAATGGAGGCACGCGCTCTCCCCGCACATCACCATGAGTTTCCTAATAGACTCCAGCATCATGATTACCTCCCAGGTGAGCCCCGCCTCCTGCCCGGGCCCCCGGCCTCACTTTTCCGACCACAGAGTCGTCTCCTTGCGGCTCAGCGGTGCGGGCTGGCCGGTGTCTCGCCGCCTGCGCCGCCTCGACCGTGCGCGGAGCTCGGGGAGGGCTGGGGGTTTGCTGCGTCCGGCTGTCCGCCCTTGTCGGGAGGCGGCCTGCGGCAGTCGCACCCCACCCAGCCTCCAGCCACTCTCCCTACCCCCCACTTTCCTGTCCGGTTTTGGGGTGGCCTCAGAGAGAAGGGAGCGGTCCCCGAAACTCCCGACTGCGCCCCTGACCCATGAATCCGGGAAGGTGTGGTTGGTTCCGGCGCCCTGCGCGGCGGGCCAATCGGAGCCGGCTCCTGGGGACACGTGGGCGCTGCTGGTTCGTTGTCAAACGCTGGATCCCAGTGTGGACGCTATCACTGGAGAGATCCCCAAAGTGCTAGGTTCTTTGGACGAGAACACAGCATCCATCCTCTCTTGGCTGCCCGCGCTGTTCGGGTCCTGCCGAGTTCATAGCTGGATCCCCCTCAGGTGCAAGCACGCAGTAAACATTTGTTGGCCAATATTTGGAGAAGCTCGCACATCCTCCCCTCCCTCGTTTTCCAGTAATTTAAACTACCTTTTATTTTTTTATACTTCTCTTGGATTTATTGGGGTGACTTTGGTTAATAAAATTATATACGTTCCAGGTGTGCAATTCTATAATATATCATCTGTATACTGTATTGTGTATTCATCACCCTAAGTCAGGCCTCTCCATCACCATTTCTTCCCCCTGTACCTCCTTCTCCCTTACCCCACCCCACTTTCCCTCTGGTAATCACTATACTGTTGTCTGTGTCTATGAGGGTTTTCTGGTTTGTTTGTTTCGTTGGTTGTGTGTGTGTGTGTGTGTGTTTTGCTTAATTCCTTCACTTTTTTCACCCAGGCCCACGAACCCCTTCCCTCTGACAGCTGTTAGCCTGTTTGTTCTCTATGAGTTTTTTCTATTTTGCTTGTTAGTATTATTTTGTTCATTCGATTCCACATATGAGTGAGATCATATGGCACCTGCCTTTCTCTGACTGGCTTATTTCGCTTAGCACGGTGCTGTATAGGTCCCTCCCAGGGGTCCTCAAACTTTTTAAACAGGGGGCCAGTTCACTGGCCCTTAGACCGTTGGAGGGCCAGACTATAGTTTAAAAAAAAAAAAACTATGAACAAATTCCTATGCACACTGCACATATCTTACTTTGAAGTAAAAAAACAAAACGGGAACAAATACAATATTTGTATTTGCATGTGGCCCGCGGGCCGTAGTTTGAGGACCCCTGCTCCATGCTGTTGCAGAAGGTACTATTCCATGGTGTAGATGTGTCACAGCTGTTTGTTATCCACTCATCTACTGATGGACACTCAGGCTGCTTCCAAATCTTGGCTGTTGTAAATGACGCTGCAATGAACATAGGGCTGCATATATTCTTTTGAGTTAATGTTTCAGGCTTCTTCAGATAAATTCCCAGAAGTGGAATCATGAGGCAGTTTCATTTTTAATTTTTTGAGGTGAACTCCATACCGCTTTCCACAGTGGCTGCACCAGTCAGCCTTCCCACCCACAGTGCAGGGGGGTTTTCTCTGAATCCTCCCAGCACTTGTTGTTTGTGGGTTTATTGAGGATAGCCATTCTGACAGGTGTGAGTGATAGCTCATTGTGGTTTTAATGTTCATTTCTCTGATGACTAGTGGTGTTGAGTATCTTTTTATATGTGTGTCGGCCATCTGTATATCCTCTTTGGAGAAATGTCAATTCAGCTCCTTTGCCCATTTTTTGATTGCATTGTTTGTTTTTGGTGTTGAGTTTTATAAGTTCCTCATAAATTTTGGATATTAACCCCTTATCAGATGTATCATAGGTAAATATATTCTTCCTCTCAATGGGTTGTCTTTTCATTTTGTTGATGGTTTTCTCTGCTGTGCAAAAACTTTAATGGATGTAGTCCTATTTGTTTATTTTTTCTTTTGTTTCCTTTGCCCCAGGCAATGTATCAAAAAAAATGTTGCTATCAGAAATGTCTGAGATCTTACTGCCTCTGTTTTCTTCTAGGATTTTTATGGCTTCAAGTCTTACATTGTAGTTTTTTATCCATATTGAATTTATTCTTGTGTATGGTTTAAGATGGGGTCTAGTTTCATTTTTTTGCACATATCTGTTCAATTTTCCCAACACCATTTATTGAACAGACTGTCTTTACCCCATTGTATGTTCTTGCCTCTGTTCTGTTCCATTGATCTATATGTCTGTTCTTAGGCCAGTATCGTGCTATTTTGATTACTGTGGCCTTGTAGTATAGTTTGATATCAGGTCATAGAATTCCTCCAAATTTGTTCTTTCTCAAGATTGCTGTGGTTATTCAGGGTCTTTTGTGGTTCCATATACATTTTTGGAATATTTTTTCTAGTTTTGTGAAATACACCATTGGTATTTTCATAGGCATTGCATTGAATCTATAGGTTGCTTTGGGTAGTATGGACATTTTAATGATGTTAATTCTTCCTATCCATGAGCAAGATATATGCTTCCAATTATTTGTATCTTCTTCAGTTTCTTTCTACAATGTCTTATAATTTTCTGAGTACAAGTCTTTTACAGCCTAGGTTAAATTTATTCTTAGGTCTTTTGTTTGTTTGTTCTAATCCTCACCCAGGGATATGTTTTCCTTGATTTTAAGAGAGAGGGGAACATCAATGTGAAATAGAAGCATCCAACAGCACAACCTAGGTATGTGCCCTGACCAGGAATCGAACCCACAGCCTTTTGGTGTATGGGATGGCAATCCAACAAGCTAAGCCACCAAGCCAGGGCTTTTATTTTATTTTATTTTATTTTATTGATGTAATTATAAATAGGATCGTTTATTTCATTTGCCTTTCTGATAGTTCATTGTTGATGTATAAAAATGCAACTGATTTCTGGGTATTTATTTTGTACCCTGCTATTATACTGAATTCATCTATAAGTTCTGGTAGTTTATTTGGTGGAATCGTCAGGGTTCCCTACATATAGTATTGTGTCATCTGCAAATAATGACAGTTTTACTTCTTCCTTTCTCTTTGGATGGCTTTTATTTCTTCCTCTTGTCTGATTGCAGTGGCTAGGACTTCCAATACTTATGTTGAATAAGAGTGAAGAAAGTGAACATTTCTGTCTTGTTCCTGATCTTAAGGGAATGCTTGTAGTTTTTGCCCATTAAATATGATGTTGGCTGTAGGTTTGTCATATATGTTCCCTCTATTCCCACTTTGCTGAGAGTTTTTGTTATAAATGGGTGCTGGATTTTATCAAATGCTTTTTCTGCATCTATTGATATGATCATGTGGTTTTTACCTTTCATTTTGTCTATGTGATGTTTTACATTTATTGATTTGCAGATATTGTACCAACCTTGCATCCCCCAAATAAATTCCACTTGATAAGGGTGTATGATCTTTTTAATATATTGCTGGATCTGGTTTGTTAACATTTTGTTGAGGATTTCAACATCTGTGTTCATCGGGATATTGGCTTATAATTTTTTTTTTTTGTAGTATCTTTATCTGGTTTGGAATTAGGATAATGCTTGTCTTGTAAACTGAGCTTGGGAGTCTTCCCTTTTCTTGAATGTTTTTGAATAGTTTGAGAAGAATAACGTGTTAGTGCTTCTCTGAACATTTGGTTAAATTCACCTGTGAAGCCATTTGGTCCAGGGCTTTTGTCTGTGGGAAATTTTCTAATTACTGCTATAATTACACTAGTTGTAAATTGTCTGTCTACATTCTCTGATTCTTCCTGACTCAGTTTTAGAACATTGTATGTTTCAAGGAATTTGTCTGTTTCATCCAGATTGTCCAATTTATTAGCATACAGTTGTTTATAATATTTTCTTTTATTGTTGACTGTATTACAGATGCCCCCCGTTTCCCCTCCTTTTCCCTCATCCTCCTATCCCCAACACGAACCCAGGCCTTCATCACACTATTGTCTGTGTCCATTGGCTATGCATATACAGTACAGTGGGGCCTTGACTTACGAGTGTCCCGACTAACGAGTTTTTTGAGATACCAGCTGTCTCTCGGCCGATTTTTTGCATTGAGTTGATAGAGTAATTTGAGTTAACGAGCTCCTTAACGAGCTCGGTCCCTGAACGAATTAAACTCGTAAGTCAAGGCCCCACTGTATACACATATGTTATTTGGTTAATCTCTTCCAGTCTGCCCCACCCCCGTCCATTCGGAGACCTGTCACTCTGTTCCATGCATCCATGTCTCTGCACTATTTTGTTCACAGGTTTATTTTGTTCAATAGATTCCAATATAAGTGAGATCATGTCATATTTGTCTTCCTCTGGCTGGCTTATTCCGCTTAGCATAATAATCTCCAGCTCCATTTATGCAGCCTCAAGGATAAAAGAGCCTTCTTTTTCGTGGGCACATAATATTCCATTGTGTAAATGTACCACAGCTTTTTTTATCCACTCATCTGCCGATGGGCACTTGGGCTGTTTCCAGATCTTAGCTATCGTAAATAGCACTGCTCTGAACATAGGGGTGCATATATTCTTTCTGATGGGTGTTTCAGGATTTTAGGATATACTGTATTCCCAGAAGTGGGATCGCTGGGTCAAACGACAGTTCCATTTTTAATTTTTTGAGGAAACTCTACACTGTTTTCCATGGTGGCTGCACCAGTCTGCATTCCCATCAGCAGTGCACTAGGGTTCCTTTTTCTCCACATCCGCTCCAGCACTTGTTTATTATTTACGGATGGTGGCCATTCTGGCAGGTGTGAGGTGATACCTCACTATAGTTTTAAGTTGCATCTCTCTGATGATTACTGAGGTTGAGCATTTTTTATATGTCTGTTGGCCGTCTGTATGTCCTCTTTGGAGAAGTGTCTATTCAAGTTCATTTTTTAATTCGATTATTTGTCTTCCTGGTGTTGAGTGGTATGAATTCTTTATATATTTTGGT